TTAGTTCCATCATTTGAATATTATAGGTGTGTGAACTCAGCAAAATATTGCAGAATACTCCAGTAGTCCATAATACTATTGGGTCTTCCGCTTCACTGGCCATGTCAGAAATTGTTGACCTGAGTCCCCTACAGCTCAACATAACACCATGGCTTTACTTCTTATACTTCGTTTTTATACTTTTCTGTTGGATGGTTAAAACCAAGGTAAAGCAAGACCTATGCAACAAGAGTTGTAGCTTTTGGATCTGATAAGGTCAGTCAAATCCCCTTAGGATTTATCCTGAGACCTTGTACCTCAGATTGTAGATCCTTTGTCAAGTGTCAGTTATTTAGGTGAGTCACGGCCATTGCTTGGCCAATTTGCTCTCTGTGAAAGCCTGAGAGAATGTTTTCTCTCCATGTGACTCTCCTTAGGTACACTGTACATCATCAATCACTTTCCTCTTTGGCCCTATAATCTCCTTGATCAGAAAATTTGGGACACAACTGAGTTACATATAATTACAGTACAAGTTCTCGTATGTCCTGAGTCTTAATTGACCTTGGAAGGCTAGGGAATCCTTTTCTTTTTGAATTAGGGTTTCACTTTGCAATTCAGATTGGCCGTGTACTCACAGTGATCCTCCTACCCCAGCCTCCTGAATGTTTGGATTATAGGCGTATGCCATTATGTCTAGCCTGGGAAAAAAGTCTTTAAAAACAAAAATTTCTGAAGAACCGAAATTCCTGGAAATGTCTGGTTCTTGGTGTGAAGTTTTAGTTTTTATTTGAGGTTTCTTATCTTGTTAGAAAGTAACAGAAATCCATTTTAAAGACACTGAAAAGGCAGAAGAGACACTCACTCCAGGGATATAGGGGCATCATCTGTGGACACAGATAGCCTAGGAGCCCCCAACAAGTAAGGGGTCTTTCTCATCTCTGCCTCCCTTGTCTTCCTGTCCTCTTTCCTGTCCGCACATGTGGTCCAACTTGACCTCCCAAAGGGCCACATTTATATTATCCCCATTTAAGCTGACATCACGCACTGAAACCAGCAACATTCTGTCCAGCCCACTGCAGTCAAATGTCTAGTCATTGTCAGTCACCTGAGGTCAAGAGGATGTGATCAAGATGAGCAAACGTGGATGAAGGACCCAGTTTTGGGAGAGATGTACAGATTCCAGAAAACTAGGGTGTGAGTGGGGAGGAAGGTCAAAAAGTATCTGTTTTGGTGATGGAATGACCCCCTAGACATGCTGACTTTACAGTGCAGTGCCTGGCAAGGCTTTGCACAAGAAAAGCATATCCTTGTATGTACAGCCAGCCACCATAGCCAGGCCTTCAGAGAGCTGGCATTTATCCTCTAGAAACTAGGGAAGAACTAGTGCCCGTAGCTGCGCTCAGCATGTATGTGAAGAAGTGGCAACAATTTGTCATATTGTGTGTGTGCTGTGTTCATTGGGTTTGAAGAGGGTAGCTAGGTGTTTTTTTTTAAATTGGCTGACTTTATCTTTTTCTGTTTTGTTCTAATGTGGGTCAGAAAATCCTTTTTAATGAACAATAACTTACTAGCACTTGGAGCTTTGGGGTGGAGTAGTTGTGTGATGGTTGTCTTAGTTTTCACCGAAGCTTTTTCTCATCACATTTGCTTAGCAGTTTAGGTATTCAGGGCTTTGTTCCTGATTCTGAATATCAAGGGCAGCAGTGAGGTTGATATCCCTGCCCAGGATGACTGTAGGAGGGAAGCAGCTAGGGGCTTCTTCCTCTGCAGATCTTGACCAGGGCCAGACCATGACACCTTGCTAGGCACTGCAGCGTGAGGGGTACTCATGCAGACATCCTTGTTTCAAGTTAAGACAAGACATTAAGTAAAGATGTTTTCCTTCAAGCTTTTAGCTTGGGGGAGTGATTCTCATTTGTGGTTACTCCTCAAAACTGCCAGGAAGCCTTTGAACAATGGAGTGCCCAGACCCACCCTAGACCATGGAATCTGGATCTGTGGGTTGGAGTCTGGAACCCAGTCAGCCTGTGTTGTGAAAGCTGGCCAGGTGACTCACACAGAGTGACGAATGATTCAGAGCTGATTGCCTTGAGGTATCTGGAGAAACCCCGGAGTTGAGCTCCTTGGAACTATAATATATCCACTAAAAATAGAAGAGTTTGTTCCTCATTGTCAAGAATGGGGAAAGAATGGGCAAAAGAAGGACTCTGGAGGTGCCCCACCTGTCTTGTTGTTACTGTTGTTAGAAGACAAAATTAAAATTTTTCTTGCTAGGTGTACCTTCCATGTTGTGCCTGGGTCACTTAATAGCGGGAAGGTCATGAATAGGGCTTAATGTAGGTACAACTTTCCACAAATCAGAGGTCATCATCTGAGAGCATGGGGAACAGTGGGAATGATGCTAGCTTCCAAGAGATCAGAAAACCTGTGGACTTGTTTCTGTTATCCTTGTTTGTGTATGAGAATCATTTGGGGTAATCTGTAAGAACAAAAACACTCAACCAGATGGCTGCACCTTCTCCTTAGATGTTCTCGCTGCAGAGGTTGAGAGTGGGGCTGAGGGCTGTGGATCAGATTGGAACAACTCACCAGTGGTCCATGGTCAAAGATTATGAGAACAAAGAGTGCAGATGATTATAAGACCAATAGTAACTTGATTTGTAGATTCCCCACTTTTTTTTCTTTTTTTGCAGCACTGAGATTAAACCCAAGGCCTCACACACTATGAGCAAGTACTTTACCACTGAGCAACATCCCTAATTCTGTGAAGTCCTAATTCCCTAAGGAGTTGAGCTTGCCTGGGTGCCAACTGTATTAGTCATTTTCCTATCACTGGGATAGAATACATGATACCCGCAGCTTAAAGGAGGTTTAGTTGGCTAACTTGCCAGGAGCTTTAGTCGAAAGTCTACTGACTCCATTACAGACACAGCATGATGGTTGGGCTGGGCGTGGTGGTGCACACATGTAATCCCAACACTAGGGAGGTTGAGGCAGGAGAATCATTGCAAGTTCAAGACCACCCTGGGCTACAAAGTGAGCTCAAGGCCAGCGTGAACGGCACAGTAAGACCCTATCTCTAAAAGATGAAAAACCAAACAAACCCAGCATGGTGGAAGGGCCTGGTGAAGACAGCTTCTCGTATCATGGCAGCCAGGAAACAGAGAGAGAAGGGGGTACATGGGATAAGAATACATCATGATGTCACATCCCCAGTGTCCCACCTCCAATCAGGCTGTACCTCTTAACAGCACATTCAGCTACTGAGTTGATCATTGATAAACCCACTGATAAGTATGGTATCCCCATGATCCAATCAGCTTCCCCAGTGTGTGAAACTTCAGGGAGAACATTTTAAATCTAAACCACAGCACTGGCTAAGATTATTATCAGTTCAGTCCCTCACAGATAACATAATATCAGCTATAGGCTGTGTATTTAGGATTTGGCCCAGGCTTGTCTGAGCCCAGAGCCTGACAAGTGCAGAGACCACTCCTTCTCTCTAGGTTGGTATGGATACAGCCATGGTACCAGGGCTCAGTTGTTAGGACATAGAGTTGTGAGCCCTTCCTAGCCCCAGGAGGAGCTGGCTGGGGTGTAGATGATGTAGACTTCTGGGCCTTCCCTGGAAGGCATCAGCAAATTCTTTTAGTTGGGTCATTCTTTGGGCTTGCTTCAGATCTCTGCTACCTTCATTCTCTCCCTTGGGAGGTTATCGTGCTCTCTGCCAGAGTTCTTGTTTGTGAGGGGCTAGAGGTTGGAGGTATGAAAGACGTTGAGCAGGTTTTGAGGAGTGATGTTGGAATCTGGACATTGTTGCATGGTTCTGGAGGAACTGTCTGGGTGGTAGATTTATATGCACAAAGGTATAACAAGGAGGCTTGCATGGAAGTCAGGGAGGGGGAGAGG